TAATATAATAAAATTATTTACATATTAACGTATAGTGGAATATAACATAAATTAAATACAATTTGTATTGGTACCAATGGTACCTTGTATATTGGTACCTCGTGTCTCATACTGGTATAGGTATTTGAAATACTAACAGATAATGGTTTCATATAGTTGATAGTTACTATGTCTAATTTACTACGGGCAAAGTATACTTGGACCGGTGAAATTATAACCCTGCCTGGTCAAAATAGTATTTTAATGTATTGCCCAAAATCAGCAGGCTAAGTATACATAGACCGGGCAATGTAAATATTGCCAAAAAGTCTACTTTGCCCGTAACCATATATATACATAATATACATTAAAGTTAGAGTTTTGAAATTTATCCTCAAAGTTGTAAACATTTTAAAACTATTTAATAGTTAGAAATTCATAAAAACTTTTCTTTTTATACCTAAAATTTGAAACTGTAATACAAAATTTTAACTCAGATCTTCATATATATTGGTACAATTATAATTTAAAAGAATCAATTTATCTTAAAAAACTAGCGCATACAAAATATAACATTTCTAATTCTTTATCAGATTATTTTATGTTTTATAATTTACGTAAGGAATGTAAACAAGTATCCAAACAACTTCAATTAAATCATAGATATTCTTAAAATTTAAAATAACATTAATATTGATATAAAATCATTTAAAAAATATATTCAATCTCTTAAATCAAATAAACCCAATATTCAATTGTCAATATTTTTGGATGAAACTTGTATAGTTACTCACAATTTAAATGATATCTCCCAATTATTTGCTAGCTATTTCTTCTTTGTTTATTTTAAAAATAATGTGTTTAATGATATTCTAGATTCTTTTAATGTATTAATAAATATTAATTCAAAACTCATTGTTTTTATCTGAAGATGAAATTTCAGATTTAATTTAAATTGATGATAAATTACCTATAGGCCCTGATAATGTACAACCGATCTTTAGAAAATAAATACTTTTCAGTGCTTATTAAGCTTTTGTACTATTTGTTTTATGTAATCTTTCCTTATCAACTGTTGTTTTTTTCTAGTTTCTGAAAAAATCATTTATTACTTTAATACATAAGTTTGGAAAAAATAACGACTTTAATAACTATCGGCCAATTTTTAAATTCTCTATTATATCTTAATTATTCAGGGCTATTATTTTAAGAAACTCATTTAGTCTATGATTAAATTATATTAGTTTCACAGCATATGGTTTTTTAGCAAAACACTCGAATTTTACCAAATTATCTTACTATCACTGTTTTAAAGTCAATATTATATCATGTATATTGATTTTTAGAAGGTTTTTAATAAAAAAAAACCATATTTTACTACTTATATTAATAATTTAAATCTTTTGATAAGTATAGATGGATATTTTCTTAAATTGCTATTTTCATACCTCACTAATATAACTCAAATTGTTACAATCTCATTCCATTTTCATTTTAAAATTTTCTTGTCTCTCGAGGTTCACATTTAGGTCCTGTTTACTGTTTTTTTTCTTTTGATGTTTTACCACGTTTTATAAAATTTGTTTAAAATATTTCGTTTTAAAATTCAAACACTGCATATATTTTATTATTTGCTGATGATGCTAAAATTTTCTGCAAAATTAAAATAGAAACTGATCAAACTAATTTAAAATCGATGTTAAATATATTTGTTTTATTATGGAGTGAAAAAAGTTATTTAACTGTAAATATTAATATTATTTTATTTTATCAATTGATAAATGGAAATTAATTTATTTTATCTGTAAAATAGATCCTATTTTAAATAAATAAATAAACAATGAAAATTTCTTATTAAGAATCAATTCAATGAAAGATTTAAGAATTTTTTTTGCTAACGATTTTGGCTTTAAAAATAATTATAAAATAATCCTCAATAAATTATATAAAATGTTAGGTTTTATTAATAGAAATTTAAAATAATTTAAAAATCATCCATGCTTAAATACACTTTATAATTATACTACGTTACTCGTTAGTTAGATCTAACTTTTAATTTGGCTCACTTATTGTTTGGTCTCAAAATCTGTCTACTTTTTACTTTAAACTTGATAATGTTCAGAAAAAAATTTTAAAAAGTTTATCATGTAAATTAAATTTTTCTTTCTCTAGAGACTCAATAAATCTATTATAGGAATCCTAAGGTCTTGATAGTCTCACCTTAAGAAGTTAAGGTGGAATCTAGCAGGAATAATGTTTATTTTTGATATTCTCAATTAGTATATTATTCATTGTTCTGAATTATTAGGGATGATAAGTTTTCGAAATCTTTCACACAATCTAAATTTATTTGCTGTTCCACAATCCACATTATAGGATAAATAGTAGAGCATTTTATTTTTTCCCCAGAACTCTTCGATTAGCCAATACAATTTCCTATTCACTTGATTTTTTTTTTTTTTTGATTCTACGTGTAATAATTTTAAATTTAATATTTTATTGTTTCTAAAAAAAGTCTTGTCAGTTTAGCTGTTATTACACTATATTTTATTTTTTGTCTTATACTTTTAATTGTTAAAATATTATTGAAATATTGCATTATTATAGTTATTATATGATGTATCTTGGTTGTTATTTTTTTAGTTGTATTCATATATTTTTTAAAGGACTATTATCCATTAAAAAAAAAAATTTCATAAATTCAATTCTTGCTTCCAAGTGACTATATTTGGAGCAACAAAAATCGTTCAGAATGAAGATGATCGCAATTTCGGATCAGTATTTAAGATTCAGGGCCGAATGTATTATCAAATTGGTTTTTAATCTCAATATCTGATGCCGATCCAAAATTCTTGCTGACATTTTTAATGCGGACGATTAGAATCATAATGTAAACACACGCTGTTAATACAGCTACATTGAGCAAATTGAGAAATTAAAAATTGTGAGCTGCGGTAACTTTGGAACCCTTTTTTGAAATCACAACAAACAAAATACCATCTGGAAAACTCGCAGGCTGATACAGTGCATCCGCCATCCATCAACCGTTAATGAAGTCGAAATCGTTACGATGAACGTAAGTATATACGGATCCAACGTAGAGATAGAACGATGTAGATAATTCAAGATAGCAGTCGTTTTTACAACAGTTTGAAATATCCATTGATATTTTTGGAAGAAGACAATGGATATTTCAAACAATTCAAACATTTCAACATCAAACAAAGAAATTGAGCGACCAGATAATATATGATCTACACGTTATATTTTTTTCTTATTCTTTACGGTTAATTTCCTATTGACCGTATTTATGTTTTGTTTTTACTTTTTAGGTGTAGAAACTGTCAAGAAAGTGAGCGCTACGAACTTTTACTTAATATGTCGGTTGATGATTTGTGCTAACGAAGACAATGACATTCTCCAATGCCGCTAGTCGTTTTATCAATACACCATTGATATATGTATGCGAAAATTGAAAGCGAGCGATTACGGTACATCAAAAGTGTAATCAAGCGAAGCCACGTCCTGACGAGTAGGTACGTTCATTTGCGTGATACTATTGTCGATAACGTTAACGTATATGAAGCAACTAATATCAACGACATCGGCACCACATATATGATATGATCTTCCATCATTGTATATTGGTAGTCCAAGTACAAGGAAGGCATTCAAGACGTCATGACGACTTTCGGCAGAAACCAGATTTGTTCATTACCTTTATGCGCATTCCAAACCGGGATGAAATTAAAATTTAGCCGATGCCGAGTCAAACAGTAATGCATCGTTGTGATATCGATGCACATGTTTTTGAACAAAAATTAAAATCAACGAAGAATTCAACTACACTTCACTTAGTAATTAGTATCCGGCGAAACATGTTGCTGGCTGCATTCTGATGAATGCCAAAACCAAAATTTTTGACAATCGGAGTATAGTAGACCATATGCGTAACTAGACCTTAAAGTTAGGGGGGCTTCAGCCCTAGAATTTTTATTATAAGTAAATTAAGTGGGAGGCTCTGCCCCCCAAACACCTTACATTCATTGATTATACATATAACATGAATGTAAATTAATATTTAATTATAAAACAAATAATAAACCAAGTGGTATTGAGGTTAAATATTTATATATTAACATATTATTAAGTATTATTTTAGATATAAAGAATTTAACGATTTTTAGTTTATTGACAACTTCTTAGTAGGGAGTATTTGTGTAGTAAAAATTACACAACATGATACGTCTTACACAGGATCACTACATACAATAATATAGTTTAAATTAATATTTTCTTACAATAAAGTTTCATCATAGGTCGATTTACTCTAATTTTTAAACTAACGAAGCTAAACTTAATCTGCTGAACGTAAATTGTCCATGTTACGCACTTGTAAGACAGAGACAACAAATGTCTGTGTAGCGTCCTCTTAAAAATAATATCTTCGAAAACATTTATAGATTTTGAAATAATTAATGAGTGTTGTTCGATGAAAAAATCATTCTGTATACCTATAATCAATGATATTTAACGGACGAAAAATCCAATATAAAATTTACCAATTATTATTATGTTTATTTTTTCAGAATCAATAATGAGCATCTGATCAATAATTATTGTTGACATTCATTGTCACTCGTTGACAAAAACTCAAAACATTTAAACGGTAACTACAAATTATGAACGCTTGCATTTTCAGCTTTGTAAAAATATATTTTATTTATTAAAGTCAGGAGGGATCCATCCTTTACCATCTATGTAAATAAACCGCAACCATTCCATATTATCTATGATCGATTTAAATTTTTTCTTATATTATGTCCCTGCTGAATTCCTATTTAGTATTTAGTATTTAGCAACTATTAACCATTTAATTGTATATAATTAAATTTCCCTATCAATTAACAATTATAGTATGACATTAGCGCATTCTAGTAACCAAGAATCTACTGCTTATTTGTTTTTTGTGATTACTGATTAGTGATCAGTGATCACTGTTCATTGCTTACTTTTTGCGTAGATCTGATATAGTGAGTAGTGACATCGCTAATATCTTTTATGTTAATAACACTAGTTACTTATTACTTATTAGTTATTATATAGATTATAGTTATTATTCGTATATGTCTGTGATATTTTAATTTTTATGTAACGTCTCCTTAAATCTTTGCACTGAATACTGACTATAGAAAAGGTATTAAGTTATTCTAATATGTTGTCTTAACTATTACCATTTTACTGTTACTGAGTACTGGCTACGGTCACCTTATCAGTTGTCTTTCATATTCATATTATTTATTGGTGTGATTTTTGGACTTTGAATATTTAATTACTACCTATTATGATTCAATATTCACTATAAAAAAAATAATACATTAGATGTATTAAACTTGTGTAGTGTGTAAATTGTAGATGTTAATTTTTTTTTAATGGTTATTTGTATATTATTTACATGAATTAATACTTCGATTCTTATTTTTTCCTTCACTTTGTCAGGTCATTTCTTAACTCCATTAATTTTGGTTATTTAATTTATTAATATACATTTTGGTATCCTATTTAAGTAGTTCTTAATTATTTTTATTAATTCAGTTTTTAATTGTTTATTTGATTATTTGACAAAATTGTAAATTATCTGCTGTACTTGTGTACAGTGAACCTACTTTTGGTATTTTTGATAATATTGTTCGTCAAGCTAATTAATAGATACCTGCCTAGAAGTAAGTTTTTATTTATTATAATATCTTCTTCTTTGGCTTTTTACAGGCCTTTTAGGCCCATTGCCGCAACAACATACTGTCTCCATTCTTCTCTGTTTTGTGCCGTTTCTTCAGCATTCCTTATTCCCAACATCTTTAGGTCTTCTTTTATTCTATCAACCCATCTCTGTCTAGGACGTCCTCTGGGCCTCTTTGCGTTTGGTTTCCATGCGGTTATTTGTCCGATTAGTCCTTTTGATCTCCATACATGCCCAGCCCATCCTATTCGTGCGCTTTTCAAGATTTTATTATAATATACCTATCATATTTGTTAGATGTTATGATATTATGCTAATTTATTAGTGAAATTTACCTTCACAATAAAAACTTGATAAAAAATGATTATAAATTAGAAAAAAATAAATAGCTATTTAAATTATTGTCTTATAAAATATTAATTATTTTAAAAACCATTAAGTTGAGACCAGTATACTTCTTAGTAGGGCTCGGATTTTGTAGCAAATGCATCGTTTGAAGAAAGTGTAATAGAAAGATAATTATTATATAATTTGAATCGTTCTGATTTCAGTGAAGTAAACTTTTTTTGCTTTTTTTCATAAAACCTGCTTTTTATTGCTTTTTCCCCTATTTGCTTGTTTTTTCTTAATGTTCACTTATTTTTTTTGAAAATTTAACTTATTTATTAGTTATAGACTAAAAATACTATATTGTTATATCCAGAAATTATAAAACCACTAAAAAAACCAATAATAAATGGATGACTCATAAAATAACTATTGTTATTATGTCGAAATTGTATAGTTTTAAAATTATCTGAATTATATCTGCGTATTTTTATAGTACATTATATTCATTATAATACTTTAGTTGATCGGTAAATATCAATCAGTGAGGTATAGTGTTTTAAATAATTTCTCTATAGTCGTTATTACCACCTAATAAGGTGAGTTTTAATGAAAGCAACTTGACCAAATATATGTTTGTAAATTCCTTTTTTAATATTTAATTTAATGCGTACCTAACTTAAATTTGTTTTTTAGAATTAAATTCAATTAATGCTTTTTTTAGTTACTTAAAATGCTTTTTAAGAATTTATTTTGCTACAAAATCCGGGCCCTACTTATTAGGTATGATGGGCAGGACTATAGCGAGGTCTATTAGAGATCATGGTTATTTCATATATTTCCGTCTTTGTAAATTTTTAACCCCTCTCAACAAATTTGAACTTTTAAAATATTAATTATTAAATATTTAAAAATAAATAAGTTCATAAATAAATATGGCTATATTTATGGGAATTGCATTTTGTATTCTATTTTTAATTTTAATGTTTATTTATATTTAATAATAATAATGCAAATCAATTTTCAAAATTATAACCATTACTCTGTGTGATATTTTAACGTTTTATATTGTAAACATTTTGTAATATTGGTATACTAATTATACATATAATATATTGTATAATGATAATCTATCTTATATAGCCTAAAATTGTATTATATTTATGATTTATATTGTTATATATAACATAACTAATTTACATATATTCAAATAAAATGTATGTTGACCAAATATGGGTTAGTATCGCCAAGGCATAGCTTCAGCTCTAAATTGATTGATAGTTGTTACTCATTTTTCTAACGTTAAATTATTTGAACCTATTTTAATAAAATGTATTTTAAAACAAAATATATGTAAATTTAGTTACCTACTACTTATGATTAGGGTCTAGAACTTAATGCGTTTGCTTCTTTTTTTCTAATATGTTTATATGAAAGCTTGTCTTTACAGAAAAATGATTCATGTCATGTAAAATTCAATGGAACCATTTTTATTATGCATTTTTTTTTTTTGTAGATTTGTTTGCATTTTTTACATTTTTCTTTTATATTATTTTGACAAAACTAAATATTTGAAAAACTAACATATTTTACAGCCTAATCCTAAATAATTATTTTTTGTAATTATTTTGTATTACTGACATTATTTCTTATCTCCTTTCAAATTTTATTTAGATTCTTTAGTCTGTATAAAAACATATTTAATGTATTAAAAGATAAGCACTGTTTAAATTCAGACGAATAAAATAATAAATAAATGATTAAAAAATATTTATTTAAAATTATAACTTTTTGATGATTTATTATTAAAAAACATACATTTTGTAAATGTTTTGTTATTTTTTGGTGTTTTTAGAGTAATTTTTTAATTCATTTTAATACTTGTTTGTGTGAATTTTATCATATTAGTAATAGTTGAATATTTGGTAGGTAATTTATTTCAATAATTTACAACTTATTTTTTTGTACTAGAAATTTTTAATGCCAAAAAAATACCAATAAACTATAAGTTTTAATTATTTATTTTGTAGGATGTGGCATGAAACAACATAGAAATTGGCTAGACAAAATATTCCATGTTATTATTATTATTATTATCATACAAAGCTTACTTTATACCTAAAAAAAATAATCAGTTCCAAAAAACTTGTTTTATATTTTATTATGCACACCTAATTTTAGAATTGTGAAGTATCTAATATATTTGTTTAAATAGATTTTGATCAATCAAATTTTCTTGAAATTATTTCCTTCTTATATTTATTTTAAATTGAATCATATATATAGGCCATAAGGTAAATACTAAATATCATTGAACATTCATTATTTCAAAATCCATTAACGTTTTTTAAAATATTTATTTTTCATGATTTCAAAATTAAATTAAATATATTTTTACAATGAAAGTTTTTAATTTTAACTTTTTTGAATGACAACTTTAATTATAATTTCATATTTTGAAGCAAAATATTTTTCTGAGTATTTTAATACATGAAAATCTTATGAATTAAGATTTGGATGATTATTTTATGAATTATAGGTATTTAAGGTTTATATGATCGAAATGGAATGATACTAGGATTCATCTCAAAATGTTAGTTTACTACTTTGATCATAAAAATGTGAATAGTATAAAAAACAATAAGTATTGTTCATATTTTTTGATAAACAAATTACCGTGTATTAATCAACTATATTTCAGAATATTTTTTAATTATACATTTTTTTTTATAGGTTGTTAAAATGGATATCCAGTTGATTTCCAGCAATAAAAGTTTTGGTGGTTACCAGAAAGTTTTTGAACATTTTAGGTAAATAATTTACCCACAACAAAATATTGTGAAGTTAATTGTTTATTTTATTTTCATATTTTTTAGTCCTACATTGCAATGTAACATGAAATTTGGTATTTACTTACCACCTAAGGAGATAGAAAATGAAAAATTTCCAGTGTTATTTTACTTATCAGGTCTTACATGCACCGAACAAAATGTTATCACTAAATCAGGATTCCAAAGATTTGCTGCTCAATACAAAATAATTGTTGTTACTCCCGATACTAGTCCAAGTAAACTTATTTCTTCTTTGTAGAAATTAAAAAAAATATTAAATTAGAATCCTTAAAATTATGGTATTTTTACATTTTATACATTTTATGTTATATTTTACTATCTTAAATAGTTACAAATATAAACTTTGACTAGTAAGAGATATATAATTATTAGTGTTTAATTAGAGCAGTTTAAAGAACAATATATTCTTATAAATATCAAGGTTCTATTTTTTTTTAAATTTTTTTTTTTTTTATCATATGGCGCTTATGTCCGGGAATAGGCCCGAAGGCCTATAATTCGGACGCCTATTTGACAGAATTTTTAGTGGGCACCCGTAGGTTTCTGCCATGCCCGGGTGGGGGGCGGTGGCTTCTCTCTCCAGACACCGCCCGTGACCGAGATTCGAACCGGCGACGGTGCACGACGCAACCGCTGCCTTAGTCCGCTCGGCCACTTCACCCCCAAGGTTCTATTATAAGACATAACATAAGTATATCTGTATATCAATTATTAAATATCACTAATGAACATGCATGTTCTACTTTGTAATATAAATGTTGTACTTAAATGGTTCATTATGTATCATAATTGAATTATAACTTAATGAAATTATGATAATTATATAATTTAATTTTACTATTTTATAGGAAACTGTAACATTCCTAATGAAGATAAAAAATGGAATGTTGGTTCTGGTGCTTCTATGTATGTTAATGCTAAACTAGAACCGTGGAATAAACATTATCAGATGTTTACCTATATAACTGATGAACTTTATCAACTTGTACAAAACACTTTCCCAGTTATACAAGATAAAATATCTATTTCTGGACATAGGTATATATATATGAGTAATAAAAAATAATATTGCGTATGTCCATGGAAATAGAAACTTTATCACTCAGTACCCTGATTTTCAGTTATGTTTATGTGACATTATACTAGGTTATTGAATCATAAATTTTATTAACTTTGTTATTTCGATCTATCAATTTGTATTCCAAATGCAAAATTGGATGTTTGAGGGTTAATAAATCCAAATCCATATTACTTAAAACAAAATCAATTAATTCAAAAATGTTGTTCATATTCAAAATAAAAGTTACAATAAAAAAAATTTAGTTATGTGCCTGCGTAAAATATATGAGTTAAAAAAATTTTAAGTTTAAGGAATATATGATCCAATATTCTAGTTGAATATCTAATAAATGGGATTGAAAATATATATACAGGATACTGAATGATAAATTATACCCTGTTTTTGTGGATACACAGTATATTATAAACATACTTTATAGTTTATAATAACTTATTTATTTATAATTCCAATAATGTCCAATTTACAATATAGTTATAATTATAATATAATGTATTAATTACTAAGTTTTTAAATGATGAATATTAAAATAAAACAATTGTACAAATTATTAATCATTCATTACATATAATATATAATATAACAGTAAAAGAACGAATACTAGAAAAACCTATGATACATAAAATAATTTGGTCAAACTACAAATGATTTTTGTAGTTTAGATTTTTTCAAACAAAATTTGATAAATTTCGAGATAATCAATGAGTGTTGGTGAAAATCCAAAATTTTTACTAATTGTGCAATATTTTTTCCCTTTTTTTATAATTATATATTAGTTACAATATTATACGTTAACTTAAAAATGATAATTATTATTATTTAAGTATATTAAATAAGAATGTCTATATTATTAATTTATATTATAATACAAAAATTATTTATTTATGCTGACTTAGATACTGTGGGGCATCACGGATTGAACATTACATTTTTAGATCAGCACTATAAGTTTAATTGTGTATACAATATAGAGTTAAGAACAAACTGCTTTTCTCAAATAGTCTTTTGGTTAATCGACTGATTCTATGATTATGTACTCACTACATATGTCAAAGTTTTCCTTTATCATAATTTATATTAAAGTCAAAATAAAACTTCACAAAGTCAGTCACATTAAAATATCATTCACTGCATACAATAATTTCAATTGTTACTACAATATAAATTTATTGTCATAATATAAAATACTAAAGAAAGTAAAAATAATAATTTGTGTGTAATTGACATTTTTAAAACAATGATTATTTAAATAATTTATTAAGGACTTAGAAGATATGAAAGTATTATGTTCATTAAACATTCAAATGATTTAATGATTGTTTTAATTTTTTTTATATGTATACAGTATGGGTGGACATGGGGCATTGTTATGTGCTTTACTGTGCCCAGGAAAGTATAAATCAGTCTCATTATTTGCACCTGTTTGTAATATTTCTAATTCGCCTACATTATTTGATGGATTGACAGCATTACTTGGAGAGGAAAAAGAAACTTTGCAAAAATGGGATACAACTTTTTTAGTAAAAGAATATGACGGCCCTGAAATGGAAATATTAATACATGTGGTTAGTATTTATATAAATAAAAATTAATAAATATACCTTATAATCATATTAATTTCTGAATTTTATGTTAACAGGGTAGTGATGATGAGTTTTTAACAAATGATTTACTAATTGATAATTTTATGGAAGCAGCCAATGAACGTAAAGATAATAAAATTAAGACAAAATTATTTCTCGAAGAAGGCTATGATCATGGATATTATTTTATATCAACATTCATGGGAGAGCATTTTAAATTTCATTCGTCTAAATTGTCTTAGTAAAATAATTTTTTATTGATGTTTATTTTAAATAAAAGAATAACAATGAATATTATTAATTTTTTCTATTAATTGTTAATAATATAATATTATAAATTACAAATCATTTTTATTGATTATTTATAAATTATTTAATTAAGTATTGACTTTACCTTTTAGGTTAAAATATTCAATAGGAAATTATTAAAGCTTCCTAAACATGTTTTTTTTTTTTTTATTAGAAAACTAACAACTTATATTCACAAAACACAATAAGTAAATACATATACATATATAACTAAATCAATTTTATGAAGGTGGCTATCCATTAATAGAACCCTTCAGAATTTAATTTGATCTAATTTAATATAAATTTAGAGATCAAAGTACCCATGTCTTCTGAAATGAAGAGCCAGGTTGTTTGTCTGGATGCTTAAACAATTAAATGGTAAAATAATTTAAGCCTTATAAATCTATTTTAGTTTTAATATTATGTATGCATGGAAATGTCAAATCTTTCACCATGGCAAGAGTGGAAGACGGTATAAGTGGAGTGGTATAAGTATTAATTTTATGTTGGTTTTTCTAATATTTTTCAAAGATCAAATGTAGTTCTATTAGTCATTATATTAACCATAACCATTTAAAATATCAGTTCTTAAACTTATTGTAAACGATAAAACTACATTAATTAATAATACCATATAATTATATGCAGCAATGCAGGGCCGAATTTAGGAGTGGACTGAGTAGGCTGTAGCCCAGGGGCTCACACAATTTATTATTACTTTATAGTTACAGATAATAATGAATGGAAATTTATTTTTCTATTCAAAATAAAATTTTATCTAACAAATACATTTTGTCGTATTTTTCAAAAGAAAAATATTTCGGTGTTCTAAAATCTAGGTGAGACAAGTTTTTGCGCCATCCGTGATGATTGCTGTTCATTATGATATTATTTTATCGAACCCGTTTCTAATTATACACGTGTGGGTGGGGACACTGGGGACTCGGGAATAAACGCAGAAGTCTTAGTATCGATGGTCAACGATGAATTTTTTGTATAAATTAATTATATCCGTTAAGTCTGTTATATCAACCATCAAAAGTAGCTTAGTATACGAATCGGTTTGTCGTTTGTGTTAAAACTTATTTAGTGAGTAGTATGATTATTTTTTATAAATTGAAAAATGGAAGATCGCCATGAGGTAAAACGGGTTTAAATTAATTAATTTACATTCGAAAGTGTAATTGAAGATTTTGTAAAAATAAAACACGAAAGGTTGCAAGCATTTAATTTTAAATATAATTATTAAAATAATATAATAAAATATATAACTTACTTATCCGTTTTTATTGTTTTTTTAATTTTTTAATGAGTAAAATTAAATAAATAAATAGTATAGGTATTATTGAAAATATTAAAGTTATTTAATAAGCAAAATATGTGTTGTCTTGTTTATTTATCTAGGGCCCAAGGCTCACACAACCATAAGAATGCACACAGGGTGAGCCCCGGCTCGACCGGAATCTTTTTAAGAGCATAATACAATTTCAACTAAATACTAATATTAATAAAGAATCAATCCATTATCCATTCGTGGCTAGATTTTATGAAAGCAAATAATTAGGTATATAAAATCATTTAATGGATTTTTCACTGTACTAAAATTATTCATTTTAATACCAGTTACAAATTGTTTCTGCGAACGGGTATTTTCTAAATAAGCAATAGTACAAAACAAATTAAGGAGTACCTACCTACCATATATTAAGACCGAATTAATTATTGTTTACTAACTAAAACTAACATTTAATATTAATATTGAAATGGTCATTGACGAATTCAAAATACTATGGGAAATTGGAGAATTAATTTATAATTCTTTAATTAAAATGATAACGTGATTAAGTTTAGATAATGCTTTTATAATAAAATATTTTGAATAAATAACTTTTTATTCATTATACCAATTTTTTTTTTTAATTTTTGGGTATTGTGTTTTCTTTTTTTTTATGCAAAATGTTATTTATATTATTTTAATTTTAACTTCAAAAATATACCTATGTCTATAGAAATTAGCACATTAATGTTGTGTGCACCTACGACTTGATTCTATTTACACAGTTTTTAATTTACAATTAGAATGTACATGAATGTGTTTAAAAAGACAACATATATATGGGGGCATTAATTGTTCTTGGCTCGACCATAAATTAAAGTCTGCGAACGCCTATTTCCACAATATATTCCGCCCAAAGGTCACCACATACCTAAATCCGGCCTTGGTTATATGTCTATATCAATGGCCAAGGGACACTGTCCAATTTTATTTCGTTTTCAGTTTTGTAAAGTATAATATAATACATCTTAATTCATGACTCTCAGATATACATATAAAGAATTATTATTTTTAAGCATATTTAATAATATGGTATAGTTATAGTTTAGTAAGTAAATTGAATTTTACAAATACAAAATGTAGTCAGTTATAATTAAATATATTGATTTGAAGATAAGTTACAATTTACTATTGTGTTTATTTTTTAGATTCTTATCCAACTAATGTGTTTTATCGTTTTACTTTTAATATAAAAACGTTGATCAAAAACCAATAATTATCAAAACCACTCAGGAAATAAGTATCTATATTCAGTTTTAAAAATTGATGAACAAGTGGATGTGGGTACTGCTTTGCCGTTTTGCTGTATAGTAGATATCAAGTGGGTCACTAAGTGGATGTATTAAATTTGGGGCGTTGTTCATAACCGCATGCTTTCAAAAAAAGGTCATAGTTTAAAACTGCACACTTTTATTTCTTAATCCCACATATTTTCCCTTAAGTAAACCGTTCAATACTGCACCCAATAAAGTAAAGTATGTAGGGAAAAAGAAAAATATATTTTATATTTATAGAATCGTTTCACGACCAAGGAAATAAATTTAATTGGTTATTTAAAAACATTAGGGTGTAAATTTATTTTAATTTAATTACACATAAAATTATTTTTAATTTATAGGTACCTAGGTACTAAATTATTTTTTTTACTCTAAAATATGTTTAATTTTTAACTGTCAATCAAATGTGTGCGGTTTTGAACTATCAATCTTTCAAATTTACCTTTTTAACAACAGAATAAATATGTGCGGTATTGAACGGTGTAAAATGTGTTGTTATGAACAGTAAGTGTGCGGTAATGACGACCGCCGTAAATTTGAATTCAATTATGATAATCATTGTATACAAAAAACGATTCAAAACGTAGACTGTCGTCAGCCTATGCTACCAAGTATATTATTTTATAATATGTTTTGAGATATTGCTATATTAAAGTAATTTATTTTAGTATATTAGAATTGCCAAGGTTGGTTAATTTTTTATAAAAATATTGCATTCATAAATATTAATATTTAATTAGGTACTTTAATAATATTTATTTATTATATATATTATTGTTATTAACTCTCGAGTCAATAATATCATCTTAGTACCTTGTTATAAAGAGAGGATGAATAGATTTAATATTATTATTTAAAGTTATAAATAGGTAATTTCTTAAAAATAATTGTATATAGTAAAATTCAGAATAGGTATACGTAAATATTTTAAGTCATTAGCTATATGAGGCTATTAATAATGCTTTTAAATTATAACAAAATAACTATGACATTATTATTGATTATTCAAATACATGATTTCAATCAAAAGCCTCGAAAAATGAATATGAGATTTATATATAATCATAAGCAGTTTATACTGGAACCAAATCTGTTAAACATAAAGAATACTTATATCTATTATATATTATGAAAATGCACATCATTTTATTTTATAATGACGCCTTTCTTCAGCCCCTGTGATATGAGCCATGAACTAAGATAAACTTATATTAGTTTATTTTAGTTCATAATATAAGACTAATTTTATAAATAGATATTATAGAAATTATGTTACTACAGAATACATTGTACTATGTACTGTGTGTCGGTGTACCTATATTAGCAAGTACTAGTCATTACAATATTATTTATATCTACTTGCTTGCAATATACATACATAATTTAATATTTAAATAATATACAAACATATATTTTAGCCAAATACTTGTAGGTATATTTGTGTATCTATAGACTTATTTAAATGTTAAATCCATTTTACATAATATTATAATATGTATAATGACACGTTTATGACATGATAGAACATAATAATAAATGTAAAATGATAATTTTACATTAGAACCTTCAGAAGTATGCAAATTAACATAAACTTGCAGTATTTTTTTAAAATAGAATCATTCAATCATATTTAGGTATACCAACTTGTAAGACAAAAAATTGGTAGTTGTGCGTAGAAATATATTGTGCAGATGGCGACCCTTCCCCCAGTGAAATAAAAAATAAAATAATATTATAAATTTATAACATAAATATAAACTATTGAAACCAAGCAAAAACATTGCTCTCGTAAAATTTAATGCAACTTCGAACAATTATAATTGTTGTATCACGAAGAAACTGTTTTATGAAGAAATGTGAATATAGGAGTTCTGAAGTTATTAATCGCCAACGGTATATTAATTTTTATTATATGCACCTCTCCCCAATGAAAAATTACTGAATCCACTCCACACAGAATCAAAATTTTTGAAAATAGAATACACGATTTCATATAAGTTGTTATTAAATTTGTAGAAAGTATAAAAAATTCAATGCACAGTTCTTTTTTACATATACATTTGAATTTCATTTTTTTTTTTTACTATTTTACAGACTGAGACTACCTACAGTTATAACAGAAAAATATATTCAATTCTGAGTGATGTACAACAACTTAGTAGGTACCTATGACCTATGGTATAAATACATATTATTATAATACTTAAATATATAATAATATAATGCAATATTTCCTAAAAAGTATCAACCAGCTGTAATACTAAAAGTAAAATAAGTACCTATATCAAAAAACATAATATGAAATATACTTAGTAATATATTTTATATTTAGGTTGACTAACGTTT